CCACGTCCCCAGGCTGGAAAAGTTGGGGGACAGGGTGAGGGGACAAGTCCAGGGTCACGGATGTCCCTGGGCCACCCTGCGAGGTGGCACCCACCTGATGACCTCGGGCAGGTTGTGGTTGATGGAGAAGATGCCTGTCTTCATCGGCGAGGACACAGGCACTTGCCTGACGATGACATTATCCGGTGTCTGAAGGGACACAGAGTGGTTGGGGACGGTGGTATGGGTGGCTGTGTACCCATGTCCCTGTGTCCCCGGTGGGCACCCACCTTGACCTCCACGATCACTGTCTTGGGTGCTGGCTCCATGAGGTGGCCCAGAGCGAAGAGGCGGCAGAGCACTGGGAGGGGACACAGGGGACTAAGTGATCAGGGATGGTGCAGGGACATCCAGAAATGGGTGCTGGACCCCAAAATGGGTGCTGGGTCACAGTGGAGATGCCAGGGGGATGTCCCCAAATGGATGCTGGACCCCAGTGGGAATATCACAGGGAGGTCCCCAAATGGGTGCAAGACCCTGGCACTCCAAGCTCACAATGGCACCTGAAGGTGCTGTGGAGGTGACCCAAAACCCCAAGATGCCACCAAGAACCCAAGGTGCCACGGAAGAGACCCAACACCCCAAGGTACCACCAGGACCCCAACATGCCATGGTGAGACTCAGCACCCCAAGGACCCACCAGTGGAGCCAGGGGTGTAGATGGGCTTGTCGGTCTGCAAGAAGATGTGGCCGCTATGGAGTGACACCAACAGCACCTTCTCCAGGGTCACCTGGGCTACCCGTGCCGTCACCGAGACAAACTGCTTCCCCACTGCCTGTGGCAGTAGCTTGGCAGAGACCTGCAGTGACAGAGGACACCAGGTGGCACCTCCACCACAGGAACCAGGCAGGGGACACCAGATGGCACCCATGCCCAGGGAATAGGGCTCAGGATGTTGGGTGATCTGAGAACTCCAAGGTGATCATCATCAACGACCCAGGGGTGTAAATCGTCTAGTAATAGGGTGACCATGTCTAACAACCCCAGACTGACCGGCCCCAAAGATCCAGAGCTGACCATCCCCATGGACCCAGGGGTGACCATCCTCTAATCACAGAGTGACCATCTCCAACAACACCAGTGAAGGGCCCCAAAGATCCAGAGCTGACCATCCCCGTGGAGACAGGGCTGACCATCCTCTAATCATAGGGTGACCATCTCCAACGACCCCAGGGTCATTGTCCCCAAGGACCTGGGGTGACTGCCCCCAAGGACCTCAGGTCGACCATCCCCAAAGACCCCATGGTGACAAGCTCCTCCAGGTCCCACCAGCCCTTGGGAGATCCTCAACCATCTCATGTAGTCTGAGCCCCATGGGTCACCCCGCCCAGGGCTGGAGAGGGCAGTGGCCTGCAGGGAGGTGACACGGGGGTGGTGACATACCTTGATGGTGGTGGTGGCCAACATGCCATTATCAGGCCTCAGCGGCACGCGGATTTGGTAGATCACGTGGCGCTTGAGGGGAAAGTCCTGCACCAGGAGGGTGGCCTCGGCGGCGGCGTTCAACCCCGGCGCCTCCAGCACCACCTGCTCCTCCGTCTCCAGCCGCAGCACTGCCGGTGTCACCACTGGCACCCTGGGGACACCAGCCGTCATGGGGGGCTGTCACTGGGTCCTCCAGATCACCCTGGGGACCTCACAGCACCCAGAGACACCCCCACCACCCCTCTGTTCCCACAGCACCCTAGGGACCCCCTGAGCTGTCCCCCACAGCACCCAGCACCCTTGGGGACCCTACGGCACCCCAAGGACCCCACAGCAACTCAGGAAACCCCCTGATCTGCCTCATGGGCCATGGGGGGCTGTCACTGGGTCCTCCAGATCACCCTGGGGACCTCACAGCACCCAGAGACACCCCCACCACCCCTCTGTTCCCACAGCACCCTAGGGACCCCCTGAGCTGTCCCCCACAGCACCCAGCACCCTTGGGGACCCTACGGCACCCCAAGGACCCCACAGCAACTCAGGAAACCCCCTGATCTGCCTCATGGGCCTGAAGCAACCCCAAACCCCCCATTGCACCCCAATATCCCTCCCCCATTGCCCTCCAGCACCCACCCCTGTGGGGGATCCTGGTCAGGGGGGTCCTGTGTAGGTTGGGGATCCCTGGCAGGGGGGTCCCAGTTGGGGTAGGGGTCTCAGA